TCCAAGGGACTCTCAAGCATCTTCTCCAATACCACAGTTCAAAAGCATCAGTTCTTCTGTGACAGCTAGAGGGAACCTCTAACCTGCGTCTCTGTCCTCGTGAATATGCAGGCCGGGGGCCCCCGTGGGCTCCACAGCTCTCAGGACAGGGCTCCATGTTGGGGGCAGAGGGAGGGCGGGGGGACATGGGAGGCCAGGCCCGCCTGACCCCCCTTTGGGGCCACCTCCCATCAGGGACCGTCTTGGGAGGGGAAAGGAGGCTTCCTGCCTAGCTGCCCTCCTGCAGAGACGATCCTGGAGGAGAGGTGCTGAGCCCACCCCCGAGGAGCCCTGCCCCCGGCCCGGCAGGTGCCCTGAGTGTGCCCCCCACCTGGCACACAGCCTCACAGCATCCACACGGCAGCAAAAATGGTGGAAATGTCCTGGGTACCCCGTGACGAGGCGCTGTGGGCCCCAGAGCCCCGGGAGCCGCCTCCCGCAGACTGACATGGAGCCCCTGGGGCATGTGGGTCCACAGAATGGGCCTTGATCCACCCCAAGAGGGCTGCCCGACGACTCGGAGCGGGTGGGGGGTTCTGGAACCCTCTCACCCCTCCTCCTGGGCCTCGTGGGCAACTGGGGGACAGGGCAGAGCCTGAGCCCCGAGGCTGCTGAGCCTCAGATTGGACTCCGCTGCTCCTGACCTCAAATCAGCAGCCCCTGGCCGCACCCCGCCCCCACCTGGCCCGTGGGCGTGCGTGTGTGTGCACGTATGTGTGCTCATGCCTGTGGGTGGACGTGGGCACATTCCCGTGCGCATACACACTTCCCCTGCCAAGTCTGACCCCCCTGCAGGCAGCCACTTTTGCCCCCACGTCCCCTCAGCACCCACCAGGGACGGAATGCTGACCCAGCCTCCACTCCGGGGAGCAGGCAGTGGTGCTCCAGGCCCCCAGATCCCGCGTGCTCCCCACATCTCCCCACTCTGCTGTGTTTTACTCCAGAGACTGGGGCCTGTCCCTCAGTGGGGCCCCTGAGCCAGTCTCCCTCCCTGTGTTGAGAGCCGGGCCCACCTCTCATCATCTTAACTGCTCTCCCAGAAGCTTCTAGAAGACTGCATCCCTGACTCCCATCCCCGAAACCGTCCTGTCAGGAGCGGACTCCTGAGAGGGGACAGCCCTTTGGAAACGGTGCGGAAGGGCTGTGGCGGTCTGCTGAGTGTGACCTGCACCCCGCCCGCAGGCACAGATCCCACAGCGGGAGGACGCCTCTCAGGACCGGCGGGGGTGGGGGGGAAGGCGCAGGGGGTCGCGGGTCTACCTGCCCGGAGCAGCCTCCCCGCGTGGCTCGGAGGCTCTTCCCCGTCCTCAGACCCCCTGGGCCCAGCTGGGCACAGCAGGCAGGCTGGGGTCGCTGAGATGTTGACAGGGAAGATGAAGGCAGCGAGCCATCTGGGGGAGAAATCTGGCCAGAAAAGAGTGAGATGCTTGTGAAAAGGGATAGTTTACCTGGGAACTGGGTTTTTAACACCTTAGAATCTTCGTTTGTGTGAAACGAACGTGGCAATAAACAGGCGTTTATTTCTCCGAGTGGTTTTGGCAGGAACACAGGTGCTCCCCCAAGGATGAGGTCCTCTGGGGTCACGCGCGCTCGCCCTGCTCCTGGAGGCCAGCCTGGGGCTGCCCCGCGGGGCTGACCCCCTTCCTTCCCGCCGCTGCCGAGCGTGACGGCCGGTCTGGTCCTTACACGTACAGACTCCCCAAATCCTCGCCTGGTTTAGGTGGGTACCCTGCTGTCCCCATTTTGCAGACAAGGAAACTGAGGCCCAGGGAGGGAGGAACTTTCCAAGGTCACCAGATGGATGCCCACCTCGCCCCTCACCTCACTCACGGCCCTTTAGGGGCCCACTCCACGGCTTGCGGGAGCTCCCTCCGGGCACAAGTCCAGTCCTCACTTCCGGAAAGAACGTTCTGAGATCTCACTCACTGAGGTCCACGCTCCGCCAGACCGCCTGCATAAAAGACACCTAAGGAACGCGAACCCACCATCGTGACTGTGTTTACGCGCATGGCTCGGGGCATCAGGCCCATTCACACTGCGTGCAGCCATCAGCACCGTCCTATCCAGAACCGTCTCCTGTCCCCACACTGACACCCTGTCCCCTCCCCCAGCTCCCCGCCCCCACCGCCTACGTCCTGTCTCCATGGATTTGCCTCTTCTGGGTTCTTCATATCCGTGGGTCCTACAGTCTCTGTTTTTCTGAGGCTGACTTATTTCAGTCAGCACAATGGCCTCGGGGCTCACCCACGCTCTGATCTGGCTCAGGGTTTCCGTCGCTTTTCCGGCTGAATATATCCCAGCGTATGGATGGACCACATCTAGTTCACCCATTTGTTCCTCGATGGACCCTTGGGTTGCTTCCACCTTTTAGCAGCTGAGAATAAGGCTGCTGTAGACACGGGTGTGCAAATATTCACTCAAGACCCTGCTGCAACTTAGAAGCGAGGTTCCAGGATGGCGCGGTGGTTTTGTTCCCCGTTTTCTGAGGAAGCCCCATGCTGTCTCCTCAGCAGCTGCACCGTTCCATCTGCACAGGCACCAGCGATCTCATTTCTCCACGTGCTGCCTGACACGCGTTGTTTGCTGCTTTTTTTGGATAATAGTTACCCACATGTCTGTGTTAGCATTTTAGGCATTATCACACTGATTCTTTTACTCCTCAAAAATGGGAAAATAATAACTTTCTATTCTGCGATGGTTCCCATGTAAGGATGAGGAAATTTGGGACAGAGGGCTAAGTTTTGTAAACCATGTCTTGTGGCTGGTGTTCTACAAGCCAGGCCCCACTCTGGTCTGGAGGGGACACCTCATTTCTCACCAAGGATGCCCTCAATCTTGTCAAACATATCTGTGAGTGAGTGAACAAATGATGGATGGGTGAACAGGGAATGAATGAATGAGAGGCAGCATGTGTGGGGACTAACCACGGGGTCACCACGGGGCACGGCTGCTGACTCCTCCTAGGGGAGCCTCAGTTGTTAAAAGGGGTCCCGGGAGGACCCTCAAGAGCACTGGGAAGGAGGGGTGCAGAGAGCAGAAGCTCTGCTTTGCAAAAAGGGGAGCAAATCCACCTCTGGGGCTTTGGGCAGCCGAGCCAGACCATCCCAAAGCCAGGCTAGAACTGCAGGGCCAGAGGCTGGGGGAGCCCACCCCAGGTGGGCAGGGGCCGCTGGCAGAGTGGACCTCACTTTCCCCCAGGAGGCCCTGCCCTGACTTTGTAGGACAAGGGGAGGGAGGCTCTTTGGTGGGAGGAAAAGTAACAGACAGCTCTTTGATCAATAAGTGAATTAGTCCACCCTGATTTGCAAACAACCCAGCTTCCATTTGCCTGGCGGACATTAATCAGCTCCGCTGGCCGCCTGGCCCCACTCAGGCCGGGTAGGCGGAAGGAGACATACCGTCGTGAGAGAAGGTGAGACACTACCTGCCTCTAGAGCGGGTTGTGCCCAAAGCCCCGTGCACCCCACCCCCCGGCTGTGGGCAAGTGCGCCTTGGGGTGAGCACCAGGGCACCAGCCTCGGGCGGCCTGACCCTCGGCCTGGGTGCCGTCACAGGCTTCCTCAGCCAGTGGGGGCTTCCAGGGGCCCCTCTCTGCACAACAGTTTGGTGTGTTCATCCCGTGCTTCATGCATCACCTGGGAGCCTGCCCCAGCACCCACAAGGAAAGGAGGGAGTGAAAGGAACAAGGAAGCTCCAGCTGATCCAGTGTGGGAACCGGCGCTACTGGGAAGCGAGGCCCTGTCGCTGGGGGATGTCCAGCACCGTCCTCTCCCCCGGGAGATATACACACACATTCACGCACATGTACACACTCAGACGTGACATGCTTATACACATGCACGGTTGTGTGATACACCACAAACTAGGCACATGCTCATGCCCACACACAGGTACACACATGTGCCTGTACACACACACACACACACACACACACACACACACACACACACACACACACATACACGCACGCGCGCACAATATCCTGAGTCATCTGGCTGCACCCCTAGGGAGCGTCTGGTCTTCTCACATCCCAGGACTGAGACTCCCACGCCCTTCAGAGCCGGCCAGCTTTCTGAGGCCCTCACCCCTGCCCTGAGTTTCTGAGCTGGAGGACCCCCCTAAGGAAGGAAGAGCTTCTCACCAAGAGGCCTCCACGGGGAAGGGAAGAGGGGTGCTTGACTGTCCCTGGGATTCGCCCTGAGTCCTCCCGGCCCCCAGGATGGATTTTCTCAGCCGAAGCTGAGCTCCTGAAGTTTCAGCACACTTAACGTGTTTCAATCTGCTGCAGTTGTTACTTTTATGCCCAGACTGTCCCATCATTGACTCCCAGTGTCCTTTTAAAAATGCTTTGCTTTCAAAGCAACTTCATCCATCTCTCAGGAATCAATTTTCAGCTTGCACAAGCTGTCCTCCAACGGGCACCTGCGGGTCCTGATTCCCACATGCCTGCGTCTGATCCGTGGACGCTGCATCCCTCTGAATGTCTCGGGCTCCTGGTCCTCCCCCTCCCTGGTCTCTGCAGGTGACACAGTCTTCACCGTGTTCTCAAGGGAGACCCCAAGAAGATCTGACCCGAGCTGTCTCAGAACCAGCTCCGTGGCCCCGTGGATGGGGCCCCTGGGAAATGCACAAGGAGAGGACACAGCCGCCGTGCAGGCTGAGGGCTCGGGCCTGGCCCGTCTCCACCCCTGCAGGGCCTGGTGGTCAGAAGGCGGTCAGACCTTCCATGAATGACTTCTGTGTGTAGGTAGATGGATCACCATTTTGACCTTAGGGTTCTGCTCTAGAACCAGAGCAGCATGGCCCTCTGGGGCTCGTGAGGAGATCCCAGGGTGCCATCCCGCTGCCTCCGCCCCCCCCTCCCCTCTGTGGACAGGTCACAGGGGACTGTGGTTAGATGGCAGCGTTTGTAGCTTTCTCAGGATAAGTCTCCAGAGGCCGCTATTCTCACCCTCTCCCAGGATCCCTGGGGAAAGCGGGGACAGGCGCCGCCCGTGCCACCAACAGCCCACAGCCCAGGAACGCCCCACCTGCGGGCTCGGACCCCGTGGAGGACAGTAGCAGCTCCCCCGAGACTCACAACCCAGAGCTAAGGTCAGAAGTTTCCGGGAAGGTCCTCGAGGGTGTGAGAGCTCCCCGACCACCTCCCCCGGCCCCCCGAGTCTGGTCCGTGGCTCCGTCTCCCAGGCGGCAGCAGAAGAGAAGGACGGGGGCCAAGGTGCCCTGCAGGCTGTGCATCTCAGGTCCCAGGCGGGCGCTGGATGCACCCACCCCGACGCGCCTGGGTCAACACGCGGGAGCCCCTGGCCACGGCTGAGCCAGACGGCAGCCTCCAGATGCACAGGCTCAGTCGTGGCAGAATCACGCTGACCACGTCCTCCAGGCCCCTGGGTCACAGAGCTTCCACATCCCAGGTGGACTCTCACATTTGGGGCTCGCTCCTTGCTGCCCAGAGCCCGGTTCTCCCAGGCTTATTTCTTCCAGCAGGGCAGGTGAAAAGCCTCGATGAACTCCATCATCTTGGAGGTGACGGGTCCAAGACAGAAGCCAAGTGCATGGCTCAAGGGAGGGTCCTGGGAGCCCCCAGGATGGGGGACTGCCATCGTGTTCCAGGGTGAGCCTACAGGCTTTTGTCTCAAGGTCCTACCGTCAGGAGCCAGTCCTGAAGGTACCTGAAGCCCAGGCTGACCTTTCATTTAGAAAAATAAGACTGCGTCTTCTGCCTGGCTTAGCCACTCACACCTTGGGTTGGATTTCCATGAAAACACTCAGAATCAGGCTGACCCTTCACCCCGGTACACAAGACTCCAGCATGTCCAGATGGTATTTTTCTCAGGTTACCCGGCTCTTCAGGGGTCACCAGATTTTGCCTGGTGCCTGGTTTTGTGCGGGAAGCACATGGGGCTGTGCACACCCACAAGTGAGCAGCAGAGGGGTGAGCAGTGCTGGCGAGCGTCCTTTCTCTAAAGATGAAAAGCGTTGGAAGCCGTTGCCTTTCGTTTGTGCCACAGCCCCTCCCCTTAAGAGTAATAAAAAATGCATCCACCAGGGAGCTACGGATACAGATGCCTTTAAAAGTCTGTAGCCTACTCCAACAAACAGGATGGTAAAAGAGGACAGACTAAAAAATATTTTCATCGCGTAAAACTGGAAAAGTCGGCATTCATTATTCATAAGCAATTCCTTCGAAAAATCTGCCTGCACTGTGCAGCTGCAGAAACATGTGGGTCCCTTTCTTTCAGCCTGGGCACCACTGAGCTGAGACAGCGTGTTCGCCCTGATGCCCCAGGGTCCCTCGCCTTTCCTCGGGAAGCTTCTCCCAGCCCCCCAAGATGGGTTCTGTTGGCTGAGACCAGCTCGCAGGAAGCCTGCACTGAACGTCCTCTCGCCGCCGGGCCAGCATCTCTCTCCCAGGTGGCTTCCCCAAGGGCAGCAGCTTCAGTCCCTGCTCAGGGTCTCTGGCAGAGGCGAGGCGGCGCAGCCATGGAGGGTGGGTGGACAAACGCGCATCCCGCAGAGGGTTTATAAAGAAAGGACAGCGGCAGTTAAAAATGGTCCTTTCTCAGTGTGACTCAAGGCCCTTTGAGCAGAAGCCCAGTTGTCTGGATGCATCACTTGCTGTGGCCTCACGAGATGCCCCAGGGTCAGCTTGTACGGTTCTGGCCCCCACGTGGGACCAGCCCAAAGAACCCTGAGTCCTACTGGTGGGAGCATGGTCCACAGGGATCACAAGCTGGGTGCAAGACGTGGTCATTGTCTCCAGGCCTTTTCACACACATGCACGAGAAAATACACCATGACGTCACCGGCTTTTATGTAATTTATTTTGTTGACTGTGGTTTTGTTCTCTTGCATTGATTGTCTTCATCTTAATTGCTTGTCCCACTATGAGTGTGTGCTTCTCCGACACACACATCTGATATTTTCAGAATAACAACGTCAATATTCTCACTGACAGCAGAGAAGCCAGAAGGAGTTTGATCGCTTTGCCTTTTTGTTCATCAGAAGGACACACAAGATACAGCTCACTAGGTGCTCACAGAGTTCTGAAGTTTCCTGAAATAACTCCCGGGAGGGCGCAAGCCGGGAAGACCAGCTGCCCTCCGCCAGCCCCTCCCTGTTCCAACGCCCCTCGCAGGAAACAACCATTTCACCAGGTTTTAAAACTCACCCGTCCACGTTATACAATGTAAGGAACGGTAATGGTAAGTGTGTGTGTTTGCATATATTATCTGTATTCACAGCCCCTTTTCTTAGGTTAAAGGTGGCCTCCGTACACCTTTTTTTCTACACCTGTCTTCTTTGCTTCCGACATGTCCCAGTGATCCTGCCGGGTCGCACTGAAGGGACACCTTGATTTATTTTTAAAGGCATGTTCTGCATTTTATTCCCCTTTCCTTAACTGGCAGTTCTGTGCCGACAGCATTTTATATTCTTGCTAGTGGACATTCATTGCCTCTCTCCAGAGTTCCCTCCACAGGGATTGTTTTGTTTTGTGCTGTTTCCTGGGGCGGCCGTAAGAAAGTGCTGAAAACCGGGCAGCTTAAGACCACAGCTGCCTCTTCTCTCCCAGTTCTGTAGGATGACGCCATCAAGGTGTGGGCAGGGCCCTACACTCTCTGAAACGTGTGGGGGAGAATCTTGCCTTATCTCCTCCAGATTCTGTCATTGCCAGTGACCCTTGGCACTCCTTTGCTTGTAGACCTGAGACCCCAATCTCTGCCTCCGCCATCACCTGGCAACTTCTTCCTGGGGTCTCTCTCCTCCTCTTAAAAGGAAAACAGCCATGCAGGGCTGTGGCCACCCTACGGATCTCATCTTGACCTCCTCTGTGAAGGTCCCACTGGGGACACATCCCCAGGGATCAGGAGTCAGGACTGCAATCTCTGTTTGGGGCACCCCATTAAAACCCAAGCACATTCCTGCCAGCAACTGATGCGGATGCCAGCTCGCCCACGGTCCCACCAGGAGAGCAGGCAGACACACTTTCAGAGATGTTCAACCCGGTGACTGGGAAAGGGTGTCTCCTTACCATTGTCGTCGGCTTCTCTCCCTGGGATGGTAAATGTGGCTGAGCATCTGCTCATGTGTTTAAGGGACATTTGCATTCCTCCTCTGAATGACAGAAAGGTTTTCTTGAGCCTTTACCATGAGCCAAGCCTTCTGGTCACCAGGCCCATGACCAGGAACAAGACAGAGAGGCGCTCCGGTCTTTATCAAGCTCGCTCTGCCGTGGAGAAGGACGGTAAACAAACAGACAAGTGGGATACACGGTCTGCAGTTTCCTGCTGTAACAATCACCACTACGTCTGTGGCTTGTAAGCACACACGTTTGTTCTCTTACGGCCCTGGAGGGCAGAAGTCTGTGGTCCGTCTCATCAGGCTAAGGCCCAGGGGTGGGCAGGGCTGGGTCTCTGCAGAGGCTCCAGGGAGAGTCACACCCAGGCTTTTCAGGGTCTGGTGCAGCCTCCAAAGTCCGGCAGCCTCTGACATCAACCCGAGTCCTCCAAGACGACCACTGTGCTCACACCGTCTCCCATCGCAAGATCCTTCCTGCATCCGCAAAGTCCTTTCTGCCGTGAGAGGAGGCACTCACTGTGCCAGAGATTCGGGTGTGGGCAGCTCGGGGGCCGTTTTCCAGCCCGGCAGGCACGTCAGATTGTCACTGATGTCAGACACTGTGCCTCAGAGGGGAAGTCAGAGACCGCTGACAGGACAAGAGTAACTCTGGAGTGAGCGTCACTGAGGAGGGGACATTCGATGGGAGCACAGGGCTGGGAGGGGGCTCCCCGGTTGCGCAGACATAAAGAACCTGCCTGCAAGGCAGGAGACCCAGGTTCCACCCCTGAGTTGGGAAGATTCCCTGGAGGAGGGAATGGCTACCCACTCCAGTGTTCTTGCCTGGAGAATTCCATGGACGGAGGAGCCTGGTGGGCTACAGTCCATGGGGTCACAAGGGTCAGACACAACTGAGCGACTTCACTTTCACTTTCGGGTGGGCGAGGGCACTCTGGGCAGAGGAAGCAGCGCAGCAAAGCCTGAGGCAGCCCAGCGCCTCTGAGGAGGGCAGGGACGACGGAGGGCCACATAGCCCCCGGCGGGAATCCAGAGCTTTCCCTCGGCGACAGGAGGAGCAGGGGACCGGCTGGGCAGACAGGACCACTCTGACACTGCACGGGGCCTGGATGGGACAGGGCCAGGCAGCAGGAGGCGCTGAATGAGTTAAGAGGGAAGCGGTCATATCTCTGCAAGCACGTGGGTGCACCTACCTAGCTTGAAAGACCCAGGGCCAGTAAAAAGGCAGGCAGGGACCCTCAAAAGTCATGCAGGACCCCCAAACTGCAACAACAGAACAGCAAGCCGAGTGCAAGGCCCCGGAGGCCACATGGGCCCCAACACCCGCCTCCCCCCGGCCACTCGCGGAGCCGTCCATCCACACGGCCGTGTGGGCCGTGGAGCCACAGAGCCGTGGATCTCAACACTTCATGACGGCAGAGCCACTGGATGTGCTGCCAGGCTGGATGCGGGAAGAGACACAGCAAAAACAAGGCCACGGTTTGAGCCTGAATAGCTGGGGGATGGAGCACGGCCCGCTGAGAGGGGCCAGGCCAGGAGGTGGAGCTGGACGGGCCATCCAGGGAGACAAGCCCGGGAGCGGTGATCGCGACCTCGTGGTGTCAAAGGCCTGGAGACGAGGCAAAGACACGGAGACATGCTCGGGCAGAGGCCAGGACGGGCAGGAAAGAGAAACAGAAGAGGCAGGGAGAACCCATCTGGAGAGTCCCGGGAGGCGGAGAAGGCAGGGCATTCAGAGGGGCCAGCAGTTCAGTTCAGTGCAGTCGCTCAGTTGTGTCCGACTCTTTGCGACCCCGTGGACTGCAGCACGCCAGGCCTCCCTGTCCATCACCCACTCCCGGAGTTTACTCAAACTCACGTCCATTGAGTCAGTGATGCCATCCAACCATCTCATTATCTGTCGTCCCCTTCTCCCACCTTCAATCTTTCCTGGCATCAGGGTCTTTTCCAATGAGTCAGTACGTCTCATCAGGTGGCCATGGGCAGTTCTAAATGCTGCCATGGGGGTGGGCCTGCTAGGTGCAGGGCGTGGGAGGCAGGGAGGGCGCTGGAGTCGGGCACTCTTTGGAATTGGTTGGGGGTAAAGGGGGCAGAGAAACGGAGAGGGGTCAGCAGGGCCCGGGGACTAGACAGTGTCCGCTTTGGTTTCTCACCGTTGGAGCACATGCGCACGGCAGAGACGCAGGCATGGCTGTGTGTGGTGGGGAGGGGGCGGCACCAGGATCAGGCCCGCAGGCACGGAGGCTGCCCAGGCACCGGGCCGTGGGGAGGGCGGGCGAGAGGAGACGAAGGGCCTGGGGCTGTATGCTTCTGGCTGCCGCCTGCCCGCTGAGCTGAGAGCCAAGGATACAGGCGCCATTCAGCATCTGTCAGCTGTCATCCAGGGCGGCCACAACGAGCTGGATGCCCTGCGCTGTGTAAACACAGAGCTGCTTTTCGGACTCTGAGTCCCTGGGCTTTCCCAGAGCTTCTGCTGGGCGGGGCTTTCACCACCAGCATCTCGGGGTCAAGGTCGCCTGGACCCTGGGTGATGGGGTGGTGCGAGGGACCCACCCACCTATGCACTGGGCGGGCCAAAGGACAAGCCAGAGTGGGAGACAGGGGTGCGCCGTGCCCCCGAGAGCTGCCCCTGAACCTGACTTCAGAGGATGCTCAGGGTCAGGGCAGAGGGAGAGGGCCCTCAGCTTCTCTGCCCCGAGCAGGTCCCTGGGCTCCCTGGCCAGGCAGGCTTCTCCACAACCCTGGAGGCCAGCTCCCCTCGAAGCCTGCCTGCCCCCACTCCAGGCCCCCACATGACCCAAAAGTTCCATGAAAGGTAGAGCAGGGTCTGGGCTGGGCCAGGAGCGCCTCTGGGCCCCGAGGGAGGTCACTCCGTCCTGCTGTCTGGACTCCCGGTCCCAGACCCCAGAGGCAGATCCACCCTGAGAGACAGACGCCAATGAGCCAGCCTGAGCTTGCTTCACCGCCTTCGTGCTCCTCCCGAGGAATGGCCGTCTCATGTCTCCACGGCCCTGGACCCCGTGCTGAGCTCTGAAAACCAGTTTCACCGGGAACTGGACTAAGTGTGGAATGTTCTTGTTTTGCCTCTTGTCACATTCCCCAGTTTGCCTGGATGGGTAATTAATGGGCCTGTTTTCTTCTGCTGCTTGGAGGGCTGGAGGCTGCCGGAGAACAGTGCCCCGGGAAAGGTCGGGGAGAAAAGCCCGCTGACCTCGAGACGCAGGACGCCCGTGTCTCCTCCAGCAGCCCCTGGCCAGCAGGGAGGGCCCCCGTGCAGAGCGCCGTCTGTTTAAAGAACAAATCCTCCCTGTTCAGCACATGTGGACCGATGGACCAGCCCCTGCTGAGAGAATCGAGCAGTTCCATCGGTCGTTTTCCTCTGCGACAGAGCAGTGTGTTACACAAACCCACCTCCCCGCCCTGGATAAGGCCTTGGACCTGCGTGCTGGGGAGGCGTGTGTCTGAACTCCGGCAGCACCGTCTGCAGACGGGAGATCTGTGCCTCCCGCCCCCATCCCCACCTCTGTCTCCACCTCCATCTTAGCTCAGCTCGCCCTCCCCTTGTAAGGGTCCATGGGGGGATGTTGTGCTCATTCATTCATTTCCAGGAACTACGTCAGTTCTGTCTCCGCATGTTGTCCATGACAGCCCAGAAGGAGGAAGACTCCTCCCGGGGCCCCGTGGTCCGTGGTGGGCACTGCCAGCCTGGAGGTGCACCCCCACGCTGCCCCGCCGCCCACGACCTCCTTTATTGCTGGTGTGTGGGCCAGGGTGAGAGAACCGAGTGAACGCTGCCTGTGACCAGGGAGCTGGAAACCCTCCCCGGGGCGCAGCGGCCACGGAGCTGGGCAGGACACAGGCAAGATCTGCCGGGTGGGGGGCGCCCAGGCCCCAGAGGCCAATGGCTTGTAGAGGATGGGGCCAGCTTCCGTTCGTTCCAAGGCGGGAGACTCAGGGGCCAGGGGCTGCACATGGAGGCTGACCCTTGACTCACAGAGGACGAGCAAAGAGCCGGGCTCTGTCGTCCTGAACCACAGCAGAGTCCAGAGCTGGAGGGACTCACCGGACTGTCAGCCAGGTGACCGCCCAGGGCCCTGGCTCCGCTGCCCACTGACCCCTGCTCAGCCTGTCCCATGCCCCTCGCCTCGGGCCCTAAGCTTCAGACAGTCCTCGCCCCCTGACACCTCTTCCCCAGCACCAGCTCCCGCTATAACGCCGGACTGGTCAGTTACGCTGAGTCCGTCATGCCCAGGGTCTGCAGATCACCAGGGGCGCAGTCATCAGGGCGGTGAGGAGGGAGGAACTGGGGGGCCAGACCACGATGGGAGAAACGAGCCTCCCACTCCACGCGGTTCTCTCTCATCGGGGCACGATCTTCAGACTTCATCCTGGGACGTGTGCTTGTCTTTGTCAGATAGGAGTGGCAGATGGCAGACTAGATGGATTAATGTCTATAAAGCCCTAGAGAGGGCCTGGCACGTGATTATCACTATGTAAACCCCGCTTTATATCATAACAACGGCTATTATCGTTACTTAAGGACCGGGAACCTTAAACGGTTCCCAACACAATGGAGTCAACAGAATAGGTGTTCACAAGATTAATGGTTTCAGCCATTCAGAGCCCTTAAAAGCAGAAGACAGGATAGTCTCTTATTCATTAATAAGTATTTACATTCACTCATTCACCAGACACTCCCCGCGGCAGGCCGCATTTTCCCAGACGCAGCCGGTCCTCTGCCTCCGTCCCCGACACTCTCTCCACACCGTGATGGCGGCCCTCCTCTCATCTCCCGGCCAAGCTCGAGTCTCCGCTCCCTGAACCTGGGCCGAGTTCGTGCCGCCTCCACCAACAGAGGAAGTGACGCCCGGCCACACAGCGGCCACGCACTTCCTCCCACACTGTCCCCACGCACAGCCTCCCTCGGCCCCAGCCGCCGTATTGGGAGGGAGCTGGACAGCCCCTGGACCGGCCACGTGCAGCGCCTCCGGCCAGCAGCCCAGCTGTGGCCCCAGCTGACAGCCAGTGGCAAGGCTGCCGGTGAGTCCAGCCCCCAGCACTCGCGGCATCTCCAGCCTCCAAGCCGCCGAAGCTGCGGCCGTCCAGAGCGGAAGAGCTGTCCCTTCCGGGCCCTGCGGAAAGGGCAGACGTGTGGGCACAGTGACTAGCGGGCACTGCCTAAGCGCTAGGTTTGGAGGGCTATGAAGCATGCCAGGCAGCGAAGTGGTGGAGCGGAGCCTGGGGGGCGGGGACTGCCACGACCAAGCCCGAGGACATGCGCCGCCGGCTTAGACACCAGGTGGCAGGAAACCAGGAAAGCTTGGAGACTTGTGGTCAAGACGAAAGGTCCGTGGTGGCATGCGCGGACATCCAAAGGACCAGGAGGAGGCCGACAGCGGGCGTTTCGGGAAAGTCAGTGGCTGCCCTCGGGGCTTCGAGCCTTGTTATGCTGGACAGAAAGCTTGGCGCCTCTGCTGCCCATGGTTTCATGGAAAACCAGAATTAAACTTACTGAACTCAGCGAGTTACCTTAGGCGTCTCCAGACAGCATATTCAAAGCGCTACCTGGCCCCTTCTGGGGCCCTGCAATAAAACGCCAGAGGAGAAAGAGAAGCCAGAGGCTGGCTGGCAGCTGTAACGGTCAGCTGCATCTGAAGATGAAACAGGCTCTTCCTTTGGTTCTCCGGTTGGGAGGTGACTCTAAAAGTAAGACCTAGCTTCCAGGGTTTCATTTCTAGGAGAGAGACGCTCCTAATAAACCAGTCCTCTAGCAAAAAGCAACTAAAATGGTGGACAAAATGCAAAACAATTCTCTGAAAGCTCTGAGGAACGGACGTGAGCAGCCGGACAGCACGGGGGTGGGGATAAGGGCAGGGAGGCAGCGAGCGTGGCGGGCGAGTCCTCGGTCTCCGCAGCTGTGACCGCAGGGCCGGCCAAGCAGCTGGCACTCTGGTGGGAAACTCTACTGTCCTCCTGGCAGGAGCCTCAGGGAGGAGCCCAGGCAGGAGAGACTGACCCGGAAAAGAGGACCAGAAGGGGGCCCACATCCGAGACAAAGGCTTAACCTGGGACCCTGACTGGACCCTGGAACACACACCCACGGAGCAGACGAAGAGCGGCTGAACTGGAATTTAGGCTTCGCCATCCACAGGCGTGACAGAGTTCACAGTTTGGGTCTAACCAAGTAAATTGCCTTAAAAATACCACCCCTTCAGAGCCATACAACAGAATCCAAAGTCTCAGAACAAAGCAATAATAGTTTCCAAAGGCATTCAGTGATGAAAAATCAGGAAAATTTGATATATTTACAAGGAAAAGATCCAGAGACGGACCAAACGTGGCATCAGTGGGCAAGGGCAATCATTTTTAACTATGTCCATGGGGGAAGGGAAATGCCATCACAATAAACAGAGAGAAAACCGGGCAGAGATACAGAAAATGTAAACAAATCCAAGTGGAAATTTTAGAACTGAAAAATAAAGCATCATACATTAAAAATTTTTCCAGATGGGCTTAATTACAGCTTGGAGGTAGCAGATGAAAGAATCAGCAAATCTGAATATGGAATGATAGAAATCACCCAACAAAGAAGAGAGAGAAAAACCACTAAGAAAATAAATGGCATCTTAGAAGGCATCCTTAAAGAAAACCCGCTCAGCCAAGATGTTTGCATCCGATCAGAGTGGCTTCAACAGCGAAGAATAAAGATATGGTTTGTTACAAGACAACGAAGAGCACCCTTTTCCAGATGCTAAACCGCAAGGAATGCTGAAGGCAGTTCCCCAGGCAGATCGCAGGGATACCGCGTGGAACTGTGACGCTTTGGGGATGGATGCCGCCTGCCAGAAGTGGCAAGCATCAGGTCAGTCAGCGGAGAGTGACTGTTGCTGTCCAGTCCCCCGGTGCTGTCCGACTCTTTGCGACGCCATGGACTGCAGCACGCCAGGCCTCCCTGTCCCTCTCCATCTCCCGGGGCTTGCCCCAGTTCACGTCCACTGCGTTGGTGATGCCGTCCAGCCATCTCATCCTCCGATGCCCTCTTCTCCTTCTGCCCTCAATCTTTCCCAGCATCAGAGACTTTTCCAATGGGTCGGGTGTTCCCATCAGATGACCAAAATACTGCAGCTTCAGCATCAGTCCTTCCAAAGAGTGTTAAGGGTTGATTTCCTTTAAGATTGACTGGTTTGACCTCCTTGCTGTCTGAGGCGCTCTCGAGGCTTCTCCAGCACAATTTGAAGGCATCAGTTCTTCAGTGCTCTGCCTTTTCCAACTCTCACAAGTGACTATTTTCCCCTTAATTTCTTTAAAATATATGTGACTGGTTAAAGGAAAAATAGACACTGTCTTTGGGGGTTATAGAGCATGTGAAGTAACACATTTTACAACACCACCACCAAGGATGAGGGTATGGATGAATCTGCAGTGTTGTAAAGTGGCACAAAGTTAGCCCACATAGACAGTGAAAAATTAGGGAGTTTATACCATGATCCCTAAACAATCACTAGAATAACAGTGGAAAGGTGTACAACTCAAAAGCCCAAAGGTTAATTGTAATGGAATTATTTTTAAAATAATCAAATAATCCAAAAGAAAGAAAGGAACAACAATAACAAAGAAGAGGAAAAACAGAAAAATATAAAACAATACACATGAATATTAATAGAGTAAGTATTCTAAATAAAAGTATCATAGACCCACCCAACTCTATATTGTTGGTAAGAGAAGCACCTTGAACAAGACAAAAACAAGTTGAAAGTAAACGGATGAAAACATATATCCCATGCATAGACTACAAGTAAGTTGCGGGTAGCTTTATTAATATCAGATAAAATAGACACCAAGACAAAGAATGTTGGCACAAGGGAGAGATGGATATCTTTATCACGAAGATAAAAGGGCCATTTCATCAGGAAGATTCATCCACAACAATCATGAATGTGTGTCCAGCTAATAATAACAGCATCAAAATACATGAAACGAACACCTATAGAGCTGAAGGAAAAGTGTAATTCCATGACTGTAGTAAAATGTTTTAATGCTCCTCTGCCAAAAACTGATAGAAGAGCTGGAGGGAAAAAAATCAATAAAAACTTGGAAGACCTGAACAGCACTATCTATCACCATGACATAGTTGATAGGTGTCAAACACTTTGCCCAACAAAGAAAAATGCATGTTTTTTCCCTAAGTGCACACGGTCTGCTTACCAAGACAGACAATATTCTGAGTCACACAGCGAGTGAACAAAATGTCAAAGAATTGATGTCAGTCAGAGCCTGTTTCCCGACCACTGAAGCTGTTTACCTGCTAAGTCATGTCTGACCCTTTTGCGACCCCATGCACTGCACCCACCAGGCTGCTCTGTCCATGGGATTTCCCCGGCAAGAATACTGGAGTGGGTTTCCATTTCCTTCCCCAGGGAGTCTTTCCGACCCAGGGATCAAACCCGTGTCTCCTGCATTGGCAGGCAGATTCTTTACCACTTACTCACCGGGGAATCCCTTCCTGATCATTGTTGAATTGAATTAGAAATCAAGAAATAGTAAGATATCTAGGGAACTCCCAAGCATATGGATATCAACAACATCTAAGTAATCCATGCTCAGGGAAGAAATACAATGAGAAGTGTATAATACTTCACACTGAACGATGATGAAAAGACAGCTTATGACAGTTTACGAGCTACAGTTAAAGCAGTGCTTTGAGGAAACTGTATACCTTTAAAGGGCTTGTAACAGACGTGAATAAAGACTGCAGTCAGTGACCTAAGGGCCTACCTCAAACCAAAAGAAGATCAAAATCAACACGGAGGAAACAAAAGGGAGAAAAGGCAAAGATAAGGAAAGAAATCAAGGAGACAAGAAACCAACAAAACATAGGGGCACTTAACAACCAAAAGCTGATTCTCCAAAAAGATCAAACAACTGACAAAACTCTAGTAAGACTAACCCCCTAAAATGAGAAAAAAAAACACAGATCATCAATATCAGGGTTAAAAGAATAGTTGCTATTTCAGATCTTAAAAAGATAAGAAGAAGACTGTATGAGTAACTTTATGCTAATAAATTAAATAACATTAAAAGTTAATGAAAGAACATCATGGAAGTTCCCTGGTGCTCCACTGGCTGACACTCCACACCCCCAGTTCCGGGGGCCCAGGTTTGATCCCTGTTGGGGAACTAGACCCCATGTGCCCCAGCTAAGAGTTCACATGCTGCGATGGTACAATGGAGCCCCACGTGCTGCCAGTGAGGCCAGGAGCAGCCAAATAAACAAATAGAATGAATGAATATTGCAAAAAAGGAATGTCACGAGGAAATTTATGCTGACAAATCCAAAAACTTTGGTTAAAAGGACAAATTCCTCCAGAAATACTGCTTACCCAGATTTATACTAGATCAAGGAGAAAATTTGAATATTTCTATAGTTATGTTTTAAAATTAGTTTTTTAAAATAAAAACAAACAAACCTTCCCACCAGGAAAATTCCAGGGCCTGAAGCTTTCACTGGTGAATTCTACCAAACTTTCAAAAAGATGTAACATCAAATTTACAGAAATCCTTTCAGATAACACAAGAAGAGGGAAAACTTTTCAACTTGCCTTATGAGGCCAGCATAATTCTGAAATAAAAGCAGACAACGGCATTGCAAAAAAAAAAAAAAAAAAACAAACCTGCGAACCAATATTTCTCATGACTGTGGACAAGAAAGTCCTTAATAAAATATAAGCAACTCAGGAAATCTAGCAACATTTAAAAAGGACAATGCATTACAATTATGCAAGGTTTATCTCAAAATACAAGGATGGTTTAGCACTCAAAAATCAATGTAATTTACCATATTAACAGAATAAAGAACAACACTCACAGGATCATTGTAATAGATACAGGAAAAAAGCATTTGACAAAATTAAAGATCCAATCATAACAAGACTCTCAGGGACCTCAGATAGAGCAATACAGGGTGAGGATGTGAAGTCTAAGCTAATGTCATACTCAGTGGTGGTAAACGTTATCCCCATGAGATTGGGAATGAGGCAAGGATTCCTGCTCTCATGGCCCCTCTGCACCATTTCCTGGAGGGTCTAGTCATTGCAGATGGAAACAGATGTCAGCGCCTGCAGACCTGAAAAGAAGCGGTCCAGTCTCTCCTTGGGGTTGGGATAGTTGCTTGCGCTATCCTCACAGGAGCACGGACCAGCGGCCCTCACCTTGGGGCTCAGGGTCTGTGGTCCGTCCCGCACGCCTCCAAGCCTGTGCCCTCCAGGCAAGCCCCAAGAGGAAAGGTGAGGCTGGCGCCGTGGATCCCTCACTCAGGAGACAGACGGCCCCTGGAAGCCCCCGATGAGCCCTGCGCTGGGGCCAGCGCCTCGCAAGCCCCGAAAGCACCCGGGTTCGGTCTCAGTTCCCACCATGGCTTCTGGCAGCCCTGCTTTCTTACGAGAAACAGAGGCTCTTGGAAGCGGTCCCAGAGGTCAAGCAGTTAGTTACCTGCTTGGTCTCCACGCATCGCCATGGCCCGGAGGTTCCCTTGGGGAGATCTTCCCTGAACAGCAGGTGGGGGGCTGACTTTCAGACTGTCTCATTTGGTCGTCGCTGCTGACAAAACGCTAACGGGGAACCCGCGGAAGTGGATGTGCCTTATTTCATTTTGCCTCTTCTCTAAACTACGAGCTTCGCTGGCGTGTTTGCTTCCTTTGCCATCTTTGTGCTCAAATTGCACCCAGGGGAGCCAGACGATCAGGTGAAGCTGCAGATTTGAGAGTGTGTCTGAGCGTCTCTGCAGACGTGGGCGCGGGGCTGAGTGTGGCCCCACGTGGAGGGGGGAGCTGCCGGGGGGGGCAAACTCTGGATCCTGGGGGTCCCGGGTTTGAGGCAGTGACCCCCGTTTCCTGCCTCAGTCTCCCCATGTGAGAAACGAGGCCACAGCAGGAGACGGGACACAGCGTGTCGCCCCGGTCGGGCCCGCGCTCACTGCTGGGCAGGTGGGAGCTCTCGGGCATCCTTGTGTCCCTGGTGGTCCCTGGACGCAAGGGTGGAGTTGGGAAGGAGGTCGCCATGCTCAGAGGGGGTGCAGGGCAGTGCTGACCCGATCCCAGCAGAGCGGTGTGGGGGACGAGAGGGCCAGGGGGCTGAGCCGTGCCGGGCAGCTCTGCGGGCACCTGGGGCCGCGCTGGGTGTCTGTGGACTCGGTTTCCTCACTGAAAAGGCAGAAGGAGCGCGGCTTAAACATCAGTTCAGCTCAGGTCAGTTGCTCAGTCGTGTCTGACTCTTTGTGACCCCATGGACTGCAGCACGCCAGGCCTCCCTGTCCATCACCAACTCCCAGAGTCTACCCAAACTCACATCCATCGAGTCAGTGATGCCATCCAACCATCTCATCCTCTGTTGTCCCCTCCTCCTCCCGCCTTCAATGTTTCCCAGCATCAGGGTCTTTTCCAATGAGTCAGTTCTTCACATCAGGTGGCCAAAGTATTGGAGTTTCAGCTTCAGCATCAGTCCTTCCAGTGAACACCCAGACTGATACAGACACAGTGAAAACACACTTCAATGCACGTGGCCCCAGTGCGGCAAAGCACAGCAGCTTTAACAATGGCACCATCCCCCCTTCTCTGACCAGGAGGAAAGCTGGGTGCGGGGTGGGCTACCAGGGTGGAAACCCCTCTACAGGAGCCAGCCAGGCCCGGGCTGGGGAGCTGGGCAGGACGGTCAGGTGAGAAGCAGGGGCAACCCCACAGGGGCAGCGAGCGGTGCGCCCAGGCCTCGGGGAGGGGACCGCCTACCTGGCTTCACACCGGCTCCCTCTGCCTGTCCCGGCGGCCCGGTCCCTCTGACCCCTCTGCTCACAGAGCCCAGCGGACCCCAGGCAGCCCCCCGCCAAGCCTCCGACTCAGCGTGCCCCACACCCAGCATCTCCTCCCAGGCCTCTCACCCAGATCCCCTGACTGCCCTACCCACTGTCTTCGCATCTCCCCTGCAGGGAAAGCCCAGTTCCCACCCAGAGCCCCAAGCCAGCTTCCAAACCACGCTTGACTCCCCAGCCCCACACCCAGCGGTCAGCAGGTCCCATCCATCCATGCCTCCATCCACGCCTTACGCGTCCCCTTCAGCCAAGCCCAGTCATCACTCATGCGATCCTTCATCCAGCCCAGGGCAACAGCCTCAGCAGGTCCCACTTTGACCCCCACCCACCTCCCTTCTCTACAGGGAGGCAGAGTTCTCCAAATGCACCCAGACCCGGTCACCTCCCTTCCCCCAAGCCTGGCCGCCCCGCCACGGGAACAGATTCTAAAAGCACCGCCGCGGCGGGCACGGTCCTGCCAGCTCCTGCCCCTGCGGTCCATCTCCAGTCCCCTCTCCCTCTGCCCACGCCTGACGTCTCTCCCCCGCCAAAGTCACCACGGGATGCTGCCTCCCGCCCCACGGGCTCCTCAGGGGGCTTGCCTGGCCGCCTCCCTCCCAAGGGCCCTCCCCAGAGCCTCCTGGCCCTTACTTACCCCCACAGCACCCACCACAGGCAATATTTACCCAGTTTTCTATTTCCTTGTTTTCTGTCCCTGCTCTAGGCTGAACAATGACAGTCCAAAAGAACGTCCACGCCCTAACCGTTCCTGCCAACATTACCTCATACAGAAAAGGTGTCTTTGGAACTGGGATCAAGGTAAGGATGTCGCTGTGGGGAGACTATTCTGGATTATCCAGGTGGCCCTCGATGCAACCTCAAGTGTCCTTGAAAGAGGGAGCCAGGGGAGATTCACAGCCACAGTGGGAACGGGGAGGTGAAGGCGGAGCAGAGAGCGTGAGGATGTGGGCCTCGGACGACGCGGCCACAAGCCAAGAAGCTCAGGCACCAGACCACCAGCAACTGAAAGCCAGGAAGGACCCTGGAGCCTCCGGAGGGAGGCCGGCATCGCTCCTGGAGAGTTAGTCTGAGCGGCAGGAAGGGGGGGTGGCTGCTGCTCCTGGGAACTCTGGGCTGGGATGCTCGGGACCACAGAGCTGTGTCAGGGCCGCTGTGACTAAGCGGCCGGGGAGCTGTTGGGCTGGGAGCCGGCTCCCAGTCCGGGGTTCAGGGAAGAGTCTGCGGGCGTCACAGACATGTGGTCGCTGCCGTGGCCTGGAGGAAGCACCGGCAGAGACCCTTGGGAGGCAGGAATACGGGGAGGACCGCGGGGAGTGGGCGGCAGGTCCGGAGGGAGGCGGGCTCCAGGTCCGGAGGGAGGCGGGCTCCAGGGAGGGGGCACCACCGCACTGGAGTGCCGCTGACGTCTCCACATGAGATGAAGGCCCTCCTTCAGCAGCTGGGTTTGGCGGCCTGAGCTGGGGGCCAGGAGAGACCAGTAGGAGAGCCGTGGACATGGGGAGCGAAGAGCCTGTTTCTGTGAAGGGGACGGGAAGGTGGGGCGATGCGGGAGGGAAGAAAGGGAAAGGGCGTGCTTAATAAGTGGGAGCAGTCGGCCACCCTCCTGGGCCTGGGAATGGCGGGGGCAGGGCGGGGCTGGGGGCAGACGGACTGGGACAGAGCAGGCCCCGCCCCGGACGTGGACCTCCAGGTGGGAGCCCCAGCTGCGCAGGCCATGCGAGGAGGGGACCACGCCAGTGACGGCAGCTGGGAGGGTCTGAGCTCAGAGGGGCTGAGGCAGGACCCCTGGGAGCGCCGGGCGTCCTTGGGGGGAGGTCATGAATTCATGGGAAACATCCAAGCGGTCCCCGGAGCCGTTTGGGAGCGGGCAGGATGGGGACGGCCGGGGGCTGAGCGCCGAGAGTGGCGCCAAGGATGGTTCCAGAAGCCCAGCTGGGCAGAGGGGAGGGGCGGTGGGAACAGGGGTGTAGCCGGGGCTGCAGCCAAGGGATCGGGGGTCTCAGTGCCCCCGGCTCCTGGATGGTCGGCGGCAGTGTGACCATCACCTCCCACAGGCCTGGGGCTTCCTGAGAGAAGCTGTATCAGCCCTCGGCAGAGCTAGGTGCACCGCAGGGATGAGAAAGGGTCATCTGCGTGCTCCCCACTTCCACCCTGACACTGCCCCGCATCCAGGACCGGCCACCGCCCCTGCCCAGATGACCTCCCAAGATTAGAAGCCAGCCGCCCAGTCCGAGGCTGAGCCCATGACCGGTGAGTGCCCGCTGGTGCCTGCAGCCGGAGACCAGCTCCGTCTGGCCAGGCCTGTCACGCAGTGGGTCTCGGTCAACACCTGCCATCCGTGAGGGTCAGTTCAACAAGGACAGTGGGCACCCAGGGAGGTTGAGAAGGGAGGGTGGAGGTCTGCGGTGGGGGGGACTGGGCTCTGTGCCTGGAAGAAGGGGCAGCGGGCAGCCCACAGCTCTGAGCACGGAGGCCGGACAGCTCGCGTGGGCTGGGCCCCACTTGCTAGGAAATTTGCAGGGACGAGCGGGGAGAGGCAGTGCTGTCGCCTAGGCAACCGCTCTGTCACCTTCTAAGGAGCCTGGCGGAGGGAGCAGGAGGCCTGTCTTAAAGGAACGCGAGGCCCATCGATTGATTTGGCGGCGTCCTGAGGAGTCTCAGCAGGAAGTCGGTTCCTCCCGAGCTCAGGCCCGAGTTCCATCAGGACGGACGGCAGGAGACGGGGTGCCCGGGACCCGCTGCACCAGCTGAAGGGGCTCAGGGCTGGCACAAAGGGGCAAGAGGCTGCTCCGGCTGCCGGACACACAGGCGGAGCCCCCAGCCTGATTCCACCTGGAGCCGCTGCTCTGGGGGCTTCGCGGTCTGCCAGGCGGAAAGTCACTGGGTGAGAAGACTGGAGTCTAAACTGGTCAGCAGAGAGGTGTGGCCACACCCCAGGCCGTGGCCACCTTGCACCCCAGCTTTGGCCAACCCCAAAGCAGTGGTCGGGAGCAGAGAACTGAGGGGCTGGTGGGGCACCAGGGTGGGTGCTGGACCAGAACAAGGCCCGACTCTAAGGGGACTTGGTTGGCAGGAGTGAATAAGAACACGATAATCCCTGGTGATGCAAACTGAGCCCTGAAATGCAGAGACGCTTCCTTCCTCCAATCACAGGGTTCTTCCAGGAGATCGTAGCTTCGTGCCATGAAGATAAACGAGCTTTTTAGTTAGCAACATTTGAGTTTGACTTCGTCTTCCCAGCCTCTGTCAGGTTCAAGGACAAGCTAGGATTTCCAGGTTGCAAAGCGCGTGGGGGTGACATCAGCTCTGCTCATCTGTCCTCGGCCTCCAGCCTGTGTGCCTGGCACTTCCTGGGCATTTCTGCGGCAGCAGCTCCCTCACTGTTTGCAGCTGGCAGGTAGGGACCGCCTCATTGATGCCCCCGCAGAACAGGTGGGCACGGAAGGGTGACCCCCAAGGCCAGAAGTCAGATTTGGTTTTAGGGGACAGGACCCAACGCTTCTTCCCAGCTCTTCCTCTGCATGCCCAGGAACCGTCTGCATCACCCCCACCTGGCCCCAACACCGCCTGTTCTGGGCAGCGGGCTTCTGTCTCTCCTGCTACGTTCTTCTTGGTATGTCAACTTTACAAGCAATAAAAATAATGAGTCTGTGTAACTTTTTAAAACAACTTTCTTAAGATAAAATTCACAAACCATACAATTGACCCACTTAGAGTATACAATCCAATGGTTTTGGTATATCACATCATCATTTTAACTGTAAAAATTGAATATAGTAAAATATATATTTCCACTCCAGTATTCTTGCTTAGAGAATTCCATGGACAGAGGAACCTGGTGGGCTACAGTCCATGGAGTCACAAAGAGTCAGACATAAGTGAAGCAACTTAGCACGCACGCATGCCTTGATTTGCAACATCACCTTGCAGACAAAGGTCCGTGGAGTCAAAGCTGTGGTTTTTCCAGGAGTCAGATACGGATGTGAGGCTGGGGCCATAAAGAGTGCTGAGCACTAAGGAATGGATACTTGCAAACTGTGGTGCTGGAGAAGACTCTTAAAGAGTCCTGGGACTGCAAGATCAAACCAGTCAAACCCCAAGGAAATCAACTCTGAATATCATTGGAAGGACTGATGCTGAAGCTGAAGCTCCAATACTTTGGCCACCTGATGTGAAGAGTCAACTCATGGGAGAAGACCCTGATGCTGGGAAAGACTGAAGGCGGGAGGAGAAGAGGACGATGGAGGATGAGACGTGAGATAGCATCACTGACTCAGTGGACGTGAGTCTGAGCCAACTCGAGCGTGAAGGACAGGGAAGCCTAGCGCATTGCAGTGCATGGGGTCGCAAAGAGGTGGACACGACTGAGTGACTGAAAAACATCAGCAGCCTTGCTCTGGGGCCTCCTGCTCTGGTGATCCCATGTGGCCCCCAGGCTCCAGCTTCCCCACCTGGGATGCAAGAGGCCTGGATCACCCCACCCCTTGACGCTCTGCATTGTGATTATCAGCTGTTAGATATCTCCTTCACAGAGTTTACTTTCCGAAGACTAAACACTGAGAAAGAGGTAAGAGGGAGGTTTCCTAACACCTATTTCCAGCGTAGCTTCTCAGAAAACGGCGGTGCTTAGGGCTTCTCCCCTCAGATGGGGCACATAATGGAGACGGTGGGGTTGAAGGCTTGGATCTGGGCTGGGAATGCCTGCAAAAGGAGAGTGTGGGGCTCACACAGAGAGGGGCCAGGAAGAAAGAGCATCTCCGCACAGCTGGAGGGGCAAGTCCAGGCCTCTGGGTAGGACAGGTCGGGGTCTGGAGGCCCACCGAACTCTCCTAGGCGCCTGGTTCCGCGAAGGCATCCCGGGTGGGCAGAGTGGGGTCTGTTTCCATCTGAACACCCAGTGCAGACGCACACGCCTGTGCACGCCCGCCCCCACGCATGCCCATGAACCAGAAACATAAGCACAGACCCTCACCCAAGAGGCCCACCTGGGGCAGAAGCCCCTGCAGGGGACATCTGCTCCCTCCCGGCTCTCCTGCGAGGCACTCAGAGGACAGAAGGAGACCTGCGAGGAGCACCAGCGACCCGCTTTCCAGCTCTGGGTCCATCCCCCTCAGCTCTCCCCCATCACCCCGCCCGGCTCGCAGCCTCAGTTTATCTCACCTCCAAGGACACCTCCGGGAGATGGCCAGCCTTTCCATCCTCGGCCTGCGCCCCTCCCTGCTCTGCGTCCACTCTTTGAGGGCAGGGGGGCCGGGATCCCAGAGGCCAGGGGCCTGGAGCCACGCCGCCAGGCCAGCCAGGATGGAGTTCTCCCTCCCAGTTAAATTTCCCCCGCCTGCTTGATGTCACATCCTGTCCCGGCTTCCCCGCCACCGCCCTCCCCACCCCCGCGCGTGAGCGTGGCGCGCGGGTCCCCCTGCGCCTCCCGGCCCCCGCCCCTTCCCCGCAAACTTTTGGCACCCGGGCCGCCCAGCCGCGCGCCCGAGCTCTGCGGGCGCGGGGCCGTCAGGAGGAGGGGCCGAGGAGGGGCGGAGGGGCGGCCCGCCCCGCCCGGCGACCGCGGAGCCGCTCGACGCGCCGGAGATGCAGAGCGGAGGCTCCGCGCAGCAGACCCCGCGCGCCGCCTGCTCCGGGTGCTGAAGGCGCGGGGACACGGCCGGGCGCCGCCGCGGAGCCCGCAGACCGGGAGCGCGTCCGCGTCCACGCAGCCGCCGGCCGCCGAGCACCCAGGGCTCCCCGCACGCCAGGACGTCGGAGGCGGCCGCGAGACATGCAACCGGCCCGGAAGCTCCTCAGCCTCCTGTTCCTCATCCTGATGGGCACCGAACTCACCCAAGTACGTGCATCCAACGCCATTTTCCTCCCTGCGTGCGAGGCGCCCGCCTGGCCCGGGGCCGGGCAAAGTCGGGGAGCCGCTCCGCACAGCCCGGCGCCCCCCGGCCCGGGCGCGCGGCCGCGGGATTGGGGAGGGGACCAGCTGCAGCTGGGATCCAGGAAGGGGTGCAGGCTGGCCCCAGACTGCTGCTCTGTCCCCCAGGACCGTCAGCCCCGGGCCCTTCCTCCTGGACGCCCTGGCTGCCCACTCCCTACTGAGAAGTTCAAAGGGCGGCGGAGGGGGCCGTTTGGCGCCTATTGTCATCCGGGAGGAAGACCGAGCAGGCGGTCCGAGCCGCTGGCGCGCTCGGAGGTGGATGTGACCCAACTCCCGCCCCTGCATCCCTGCCTCTGGCTACTGTTGCTGCCCTTGGGGCTCCCGAGCTGGCGGTGGGCATGGTGCGGGGGAGACCAGACTAGGGAGGGCAGGCTGCGTGTCTGAGGCTGGGGTACCTTGTGGTTTCCATGTGGAGGTTTGGGGGGAGGTTGTGGCCACATGCGTGGCATGAAGTGAGTGGCCAGAGTGTGTGGGGACCGCTGGGCATCTTAAGTGGACTCGCCACCCCTAAACAATGTATCAGTAGAGAGCCTGTCTCCGGCTGGTATTCTCCATTTTAAAATGCATTTGAGAGCTGGCGGGGCTGGCGCGCCGGGGCTGGGGTGTTGCTTTGGCACCAGGGTGTTGGCAAGAGGCTGCCAGCTTCGGGAGCCAGGCCGCTCAGAGTGACATTAAAATGCCCTCTCCACGGCGCCTCTGTGCCACGGTCTGAGCCAGGAGATGCCCTCTGCAGCTGCGAGTCCGGGAGGTGGGCGGGGGGTGCTGCCAGGAGCTTGGCCCCAGGCGCCAGCCGCCCCCAGCCCTCCTCTCTTCCCTCCTCCCTCTGCGCCCCCCTCCCTCCCGGAATAAAAGGAAACAAAAGAGAGGAGAGAGGGCGAGAGGTGGATCACAGGAGAGAAGGCTCTGGAATGAGCGTCCCTTGTGTTCCCCGGGAAGCGCTCGCTGGCTGCCTGGCTCTGCGGGAAGTGTGCAGCCCCGGCCCCAGCCCGGGAGGGTCTGCCGTCCTGCTGCACTGGGAGATGCTGCTGGTGCCACGCAGGCAGTCAGCCAGGCACCCTGGTGAGGGTCTGCCCGTCTCCGGGAGAGTTTTCTTGGCTGCGGGGAAGGCCTGGCCGAGGGGCAGGCTCGGGCTCTGTGAGTGGACACGGTATGAATGCACGTGCCCACGCTCACACATGCTCCCACTCCACACACACGGGCAGACACGGCAGAAAGCAGCCAGGAGGCATGTGCCTGATTCAGACATCTCGGGGAGGAGACGGCGGGTCTGGGTGCCCTGGACGCGACCACCCTAAGGCCCTCCAAGCCCTACTGACCTCCTCACCTCCAGGCTCCCTGAGTCTCCATTCCCAGCCCTCCTCCAGAGGTTCACTTCTCGGTCTTTTTAAAGATCCCCTGTTCTTGGAAGAAACTTTTGGTCTAGCTTGGGTTGGAAGCTTTGTCTGGGTGGCGCGAGCCCTCTCCCGTCCACGCTGTCGGCGCTGGACGTCCAAGTGTGGCCAGCCCCTGCACTCACAGTGGCAGCCACACCATCCCTTCAGGACCCTGGTCAGCTCCCCGAGGCCCCCTGGGCCAGGAATGGAAATGATGTTGTTTTCTTTGAAAGGTTCCTGTTTGCAAAGGGAACTGTAGGATCCCTCAAGGGAACGCCTCCCTCTACACAGCCGAGAGGCAGGGCCCTACCCTCCCGGCCTGCCTCTGAGTCTGTGCTCTGAGAATCTTCCATCGGAAGCCTAGTATCCCTAATGGTAGTGGGATTTTAGAGCCGAGGCCCAACTGGCAGAGATCGCTCTAACCGGTCCACGTCTGTGAAGCAGTCAGAGAGTGGCTGGCTTAGCCACCGGCTCCAGAGATCCCGGCTGCCCTGGTCCCACCCAGGGGGCTTCTCTGGGGTCAGGCCAGGCGCCTCTCCTTTGTCAGACCTCTAAGGAGGGGACTGGGTTTGGGGGGTTACAGGTACAGGGCTGCTGTGAATCTGAGAGCTCCTTGGGGCCACCCCTACCCAAGACCCTTGCTTTCTTGATCCCAAAGGGATCCAACTCTGGGACGCCACACTGCCTGGCGTCAGGAGCGATGGTCCCTCCACGTGTGATGAGTGAATCACCTCTGGGCTTCGGGACAAGGAGGGCAGGGCAGTGGTGACCGGCCTGGGTGGACTCCATCTCCCCCCACCCTCTTCCTCTCCCGCTTCAAGTAAGCTGCCTCCACAGCCCCACCCTCTGTCTCAGGGCCCTTCCAAAGAACGTGGACACGAGGTTCCAGGGCCGCTGTGTTTGTGGATTAGGGCCTGTCCGAATGGGAACAAGTCAGAACCGTGTGGGTGTCACCTGCGCTTCACGGGCGCCGCTTGAAGGATTCAGGCAGACGGGCGGGGGGTGGGGGGAGTGCACATGGCCGGGCCATCTGTTCTCCCAACAGTAGGCTTACGATGAGCCACTCAAACGCCAGCGAGTGATCAATGGCCTACTGCGCGCCAGGCTCTCGGGCCCAGATGAACTCTGTCCCCAGACGGAAAGACGCTTGACTGGGTCCCATGCTGTAGTTTTTAGGAAGAGGCTGGCGTCTCCAGCTCCTGGAGAAGCACCATCAGAGCTTCCCAGCAGAATGCAGAACCAGACCAGCGTCTTGGCGGAGACGCCCTGCCCACCCCAGCCCAGCTCACCTTCCCTTGCAAGAAGCACGTGGCCCCTGGCATGAGATGGCCCGAAAGGGGATGGCAGCTCTTGACAGTGGCCCTGGGCCCAGCTGCCCCTCCGATCCTGGCCCCACCAGGCACTCTGGTGACCTTGAGAAGGGCTCTGAGCTGCAGCCTGAATGTCCACACTTTTACAAGGAAGAGCATGAAGCCTCGTCCCCCCTGCTAGCCCCACTCTGGCCCTGCCCTCCTTCCCCGCCGATGCAGCTCTCAGATACCAGCGGGTCAGGCTCGACTCCAGCGCACCTGGGCTGGCGATGCTGAGTCCAGGCCTGGCCGTCTGGCCCGCAGGCCACGGTGCTGAGTGGGGGGACAGAGGCACTGCCAGGCCGGCTTGCTCCAGAGGCCGAGGACTCTGGGATCGGAGTGGAGGGAGCTGAGAGTACTTTGGAGAAGGGGCACCATTTGCACCTGCCGAGCTGGGGCAGGAAGATGGGGAGGAACAGGTGGGCAGGCGGGGGCTGCACCCGGAGGCCACAGCACGCAGGGGGGCCCAGAACCTCGGCACTCAGCAAAGGGGCGTCGAGGGATTAGCTTCATCTCAGAGGTGAAGTGGGTCCCTTTTCATTCGTCCCCAGGCCAGGCGTGGCCTTTTGGAATGACAGACCCTGACCCCGGCCCCTTGGGGTGGGGCTTCCAGCTGTGATGGAGCACAGGGCCCCAGGCTTTAGGGAGTGACTGGTGACGCTTGTCCGGAGCCTGGGCAGCTGCGTACAGGTCTCAGCGTCCGAGAAGAGGTGTGAGTGGTCCCCGGGGGTGGGGTGGGGGATGGGTCCGTGAGCAACAGGCAGGTGTCACAGCGGGGCCGGCCTGGAGCTGACCCCTCAGCACCCTCTCTCTTCAAACCTGTTCTTGTCCCCTCAGATTCAGCCAGAGCAAAGACCCCAACCCACCGCCCTGAACAAACCAAACAAGAATAAAGCATCCATTCAGACAGAAGCATGAATTCTGTCACCTGCTTGAATCGGAGCCGGGGCTCAGTGATCCCACTGACGTCCTGTCCGTCTGCCCCAGGCCCTCGCCTCCCCCGGCTCTTTGGTCCACTTGTGCTGGGGTGTTAGTGGTCCAAGGAGCGGACCAGGGTGCTTTCCTCTCTGAAAGCAACGTGCCCCTCATCCCACCGCCTCCAGCCTCCCCGGTCAAAAGAAAGGTGATGTTCTGCCTTGGCTTGTATTTATTACCCGAGTTATCGGGCCCTGTAATCAGTATTAACACTCAGTGTAAAGTCATACAAAACTAATTACTGGCTAAACCGAATTAGATGCATGCGACTGCAGGTGGGGCAGTGGGGACAGGGGCTGGTCTCGGCTCTGGGGGCGCCCCTCGGACACTCTTCACCCCCAGAGCAGCAGCCTGAGGCCCCTCCCATGGCGGCTCAGATAATGGGGGGAGAAAGTGCACCAGGGAGGTGCATGTCTTCACGTTTTCAGATGATTGCATATCAGAAACTTGGCCAGGGGCTTAGGCACTAGGGAGGAAACCAATCATGAGGGTTAGTATTTCTGTGTGTCCCCGAGTGTCGGCCCCTCCCCACCGCAGGAGCCTAATCTGGGTCAGATAGAAGCCGCCTCAGCACCCTGGGCTCCTGTCCTCAGTCTCCAGACGAGGAGGCAGAGGTGGGTGGCGGGTGGTAAGTCACCTGCCCAGTGGCCCAGCGCGGAAGTGACAGACCCCGGATGCAGCCCAGGTCTGCCTGACACCCGAGTTCGTGTTCTTGTTGAGAGAAACATGAAGAGCTGAGAAATAGCATCGCTGAGAGCCAGTAAGGAAGGGGCTGCCGGGGGCCGTCACGCCAGCTCGCGTGGCCTTTGGAAGAGGGTTTGGCCGGGGCTCTGACTGTGTGGCCCAGTGCTCAGCCCACTCTGGACCTGGAGCTTTGTGAAGGGGGGCCCTCGGGGGTCAGCTGCTTCCTGCCCCTGAGCTGGAGAAAGCCGGCAAGCCCTTCATCCCGGGACGGGGAGGGCGCCTTCGAGGGAGCACTGGTCATCACCTCAGCTCTCTCCTGCCTAAGGGGAGGCTTCACGCAGGCAGCTCTGCACCGCCTGAGTCTGCGAGCATCCGCCCAGGGACTGAGCTCCCGGAAGTAAGAAGTAGCACACGGCCCTTCTTAGCCGATGTCCCCTCTGAGTCTCCGAACCGCCCCCCACACCCGGTTACACCGTTTGTTACATTTGGCACGATTTGTAATTTGGGGGGAAGACAGCACTTC